GCGTTGAGAAGAACACTGACAGTGCTGGAACCCTCGTTTGCAACAACGATATCGGGTTTGTTATCACTATTCACATCGACGACTGCTACTGAATATGGTTGATTGCTAACTGAGTAAGTAGTTTGATTGAGAAAATAGCTGCAAGCTAATAAATACAAAAAAGTTGCTCTCGTATCTGTGTTGGCATATATAGACACTATTCAATCCTCATATTTTGCTCGGCCTTTAAGAGTCAAATTCGATTGTACATAAACTGACTGACAAGATCATGCCACTAAATTCTGGATAATTTTAGATATTCTAGAGCACAGCTTAAGTCATTTCTCAAGTACTCTGTTCATCTCTGTGTGCAATCTTCTCATCAATTAAAAAATCAAAGAGGTCATCTCACTCTACTTAAACGTGGCGCTCTCGTTAATGAATTTTCATCATACTTCATTCCTTCTTTTATATAACAGTACCCTTCACAATATTCTTTCAATACATTTTAAGCTTTGTGATATTCTCAACTAAGGGACTGCACAATGCCTACCAAGCAAAATTCAGAGATCCGCACATTTATCGAGTATGCTTACAAAATTTTAAATTCTACTTTTCAAGTATTTTACAATTATCTGTGCACCCACACCCTATTCTCGTTCTCGTTCTCGTTGAGAACAGCTCAACAAAAATAAGTTATGCGTTTGCGCTATTGCGGATCTGTTCTTCAGTGTTTGGCATAGGTATTCACGGGATTAAAAGCGGAATTTTATCAGAGTCTACTAGATGTTGTACCATAAAACCAAAGTAAGCATTACACATTATATTTATTGTAAGTTGTGTTCTCCAATACTTTACAAATGGATGTACTTCTCAGATTTGGTTACTGTTCTCTCGTGACTTTTTACACGCAGAAAAAGTCTCCACCAATGCTGACTCTGCCTTTTTTGAATTCAGTTTCTAAGAAACAATAAGTGAATTTGAAAAATACGTCAGTTAGTACAGTAAATATCGAAGAATACAAGTCACAATAAATAAAACTTCTTGTACTTAGTCTGGTGTATAAGCACATCATTTAATAGTGTCCGATTTTGATTCTATATAGTCTGCTACTAATTGATCAAAAACCATGTCGAAAGAAAGAATGAGAGACACAGGCGGTCGAAACCAAATATAGGCTGACGAGGAGTAACCAAAGGAAAAGCAATATCAACCAGGCTTAGTTCTCCCTGACAAAATCCCTGTTATGCTACTATACTCTAGTGCTATTTCACTATTGAGAGTTTTTTCTAAAAAAGTAGCCGTCGGTGATAAGTCCGAATCAACGTAAGTTTTCTTAATGACGCCTGTCTCAGCGGAAGACTGTACCACCAGTGTGATGAATACAGTTTGTTACGTCTACGAATAATATTCTAACGAGAAACAACTAAGCGAATCTCTATGGGTGTATTATGTGTTCATCGAAATGATAAACATTTGAGTGGTAAAATCTCAAACTTCTTTTGGTCAGTAAAACTAATCATCGGTTGGAAAGCTACAAAAAAGTACGACACATTATCTAGAATATTACTCACCAGCTGTTGTTGTTGTTGAGGTTGTTGTTGACGTTGTTGATGTTGTCGTTGAAGTTGAGGTCGTTGTTGATGTTGTTGTTGTGGTTGTTGTTGATATTGCAGTCAATTCTGTTTTAGAGAAATGATATTGAGAGTATGGGCGTGAATGAGGATCTTCCTCAATCTCTGCAATGCTATAGTCTCTTAAGATTGCTTAAGTATAACACAAGTAGTGTCTTGGAGTTGTTCTCGAGGGCATAATATTCGCAATTCTACACGAGTATTTTGTGAATCCGATATACTCTTCATGCAGTAATCCTAAGAGATCCTATCTATCACCTCTATGCTGTAGTTAAGAGACCCTTAGATTATCCTTCCTAATGTGTTTCTGTGCAATTCGTATTATTCAGTCTAGACAGCCAATAAGGGATCCCCGGCGGTACACCAGAGTACGTCTACAGACTCCCTAGTATGTTCTGCACAGTATATCAAAAGAATCTCTAATATACTGCCAGGATGCTCAGAGAGATCACTAATATTCTTGGTGGAATGCTTCTGACGAATCATCAGTATCACCACTAAGGTATCCTTCAACGATTCATAGTACTTATATTGAAAGGTATATAGAAACAATAGATATCCTTTCATATTAATCAGTTCTTGTCATAGGAGCAGTCATATGACTTATTTGACTGGAGTTCGTGAGCTTGAGCTAGTTGATTGATCCCTGAGACATAGGACTAAATCAGGCTATACTAAAAGTAACTTTATGAATATAGAGTTCGTGATACGTCATATACATCGAGCAGGAGAGTTTATGAACTGTTTTGTCTAATATATCTACCAGTTTCTTTCTATCAATGTAAAAAAGAAAAAGGTTGTTTCTCTCTCATGTATCTTCCTTAAATAGATGTAGTTATACTGACCGAGGGGAATTCGTGTTCCGTCTATAGCAATCATAGAAACAGTGTCCATATTAGCTGATAGATTGCCATTTTGGTTTGATACATTAGCAAACAATTCACAATTAGAAGATGATCGATGAAAACTAGCTGCCTTGCATTGAACTTGAGCTAAACAAGCCACTTGGCAGTTGATAATATTCGATACAGCGACAGTAGCAAATGGTAAACAAGTTGTGTTAGAACATTGAAATTGCCAACCAACTTCTTTAGACATGTAAACTGACCGTATATCTTGTGCAGCTAATTGTGTAACAAGAACAAACAGAATAAATATAGAATTTCTTCTCTCCACCATAACGAACAAGAATGCTAGTTAAGAAAAGAATTTACCTTTAAATGAAATACGCTGCGAAGACATAGCATTAAATACCTCTTCACTTTCTCTCAACTTTTTCTCTCTCATTCTCTCTTTTTCTTCATATTATTTTTTTATTTTCTATAACTTGTTTGCAAATTAACAGCGTAGTCATAATAAGTTTTCATCAAACTAATGAAATAAAAAAATAATATTCTAGGAGTGTCCATATGTATTCATGCATGAATTTCTACTTTCTTGAAAATACGATATTCAAAAATATAGAAATAACAAATTCGCATTTTATTTAGCAATTGGGACATTTTCTATAAATTTACGATAGAATTTTCGTTTTATAACGACGTCTTTTTACTTATTTTATTTCACATTCAAAATATGCAACGTATAAAAAGAAAACAATCCAACGAAAAAGAAACAGTTCAAAAATTATAAATGATACAAAAACCTAAATTACTTAGTATTAAAGAGACTTAAACACAAAGGTACACAAGAAAAAAATCAAAAACGATGGACATAAAAGTACATCAAAAAGATCAAATACAATGAATATAAAAGTACACAAAAAAGATCAAATAGAGACGGCATCCTAATTTTGCCGGAAGAAAACATGTTTAATAATTTCTTTATAACTCAAACTATATATATCGTACATAAATAATTTTTTGTTTCCGCAATGAAGCAAACATTTGTGCATCAAATAATATAAAATTTATCAAAAAAATTACTAATCAAACGTTTGAGAGAAACGTGAAATCAAGAAGTGCTAAGAAATGACCGGCTTTTAGTGTGTTCCTAATTATGCCGTTTATATAGAAAACTGTATATTTTTTAAAGAAAATGTTCAATTTCTATGTGAAAAAAATAAAATGTAAAGATAAAAAATATATCAATCAATTTGTTTCAAAGCGAGTGATAAACTGATATATTTTAAAAGATAGTTCGACTTTATTCCAATTTTTTTTGTTTTCTAATGAGAAAAAACGCCGGAAATTTTTGTTCCTAATTGCGCCGCATTCGTATAAAATACATAGACATATTAAACATAAACTTACGAATATTGTCTCAACTGAATCAGATCAACATAATTCTTATATTATTTAAATTTTTTATTCAACAGTTATACTCTCTTATAAGAAAAATTTAAACAAAACAAAGTTAAGTCTGTTTTTTTGTTAAATATATTTTGTTTCATATTTTAGCTAAAGTAACTTTATTACTGTTTCATGATAAATAAGGATAAAGGGTGTGGGTGGGAAATGAAAATCATACCCACTCTCACACCCACACAATCACCCTCAATCAAAAAGAATTTACAAAGATATTTGTTCAGAAACGTCAATGACAAAATCAGATTTTCTAGGTTGGAAAACCGGAGTGATATATACTATACTCACGAACGAACCTTGTCGTTTCTTTTTCAGTCAGTCTAGCAAACAAATTTCTTCTGAGTAAAGTTCTCTTCAAGGTGTCAGTGAGGATACTCTTTTCATTCCACAATCTGGCTCAAAGCCACACCTACTCTCAACACAGACACTCTCACCCGCTCCATACGCACTTACACCCTCAGATTTTTCTATCAAAATGAAGAATGAATCATAAAATTCTTTTTTTTCATGATAGTAGATAAAACAAAGAAGAAGTAAACGAGAACAGCGCAGCATACGTGTATTTGTGCTTCTCTTCCCAAGCAGAGATAGAAATTTTCACCTGAATATTTATAGTCAGTAGAGAAGAAAAGAAATGTCGGCGACATAGTACGCTTGGTCGTAAACAGTTTTAGTATACAACCAGATAAGAAATACTTCTATCAACAGAAGCATTAGACAGAACAGTCTAGAACATTAAAAAATGGTAGTCAGAAGCATTAATAATCGTCATCGTTGTTTTACTGCGATTTTTTTTAAAGCTTTGGAATGCATGAAAATCAGATGAAATCACTGAAGTGGATGTTAAATTCGCTTCATATAATAAAAATAGGTAGTGCTTCGAATCAGTATGTATAACATACGATTAAATCTCTTTTTAATCATAGCATTATTGTATTTATCCCTTTTTATAATATCAAGTGGGTTTAATGTGCGCATTAGTGAGTTCATCTGATTTTCACGCATCGTAAATTTTAAAAAAGCCTCGATAAAAACAACGATGAAGGTTAATGATGCTAAAGATTGCCATCTTTCAATGGTCTAGGTTTTTCTTAGACTTACGTTGATGATTGCATCTAGGAGTGGTACATAATCTTTACTACACTTTATTTGGTAAGGTAAAGTTAAGTTAAGTTACTTTACCTTTACTTTACTTTTTCAAGCTGAGATGAAGTGAAAGTACTATCCTTAACCGTATCCCTTATCTCAAATCCTAAAGTTTTCTAGAAATAATGTACATGTTATTATCTATGTGTATTTTTTTTCTTTCTAGATGGCGCAAGAGAAACAGACTGGCGATCTGCATGCACAACCGATATCATCGTCTCAAAGTGGACAAACACGAGTTGAAATGATCAATGAATGGCGTGAACAACGACAGGGTATTATCAATGAAATTGTGCGAGAAGCAATCAGACAAGCTTCAAATAAAGAACGAGCTAAAGCTGATGATATTTTGCATCGACAATTAAGTGCTGATGAATTACACAACACAAAAGAAGATCTTTTCGATCATCTTGATCAACTGCTAGAACAATCCCTCAATAGAGAATGGAATTCATCTGACACGACAGAACTAAATGATGACGATTCGATATCAGAGTATTCACCTTCAGAAATACCAACAGGTTTCTCTCGACAATATCCGAGTCAAAGATCTGTCGGTTCAAGTGTGGATCAAGTTTCAGTGCTATCTACTGAAAATAAGAGAATTCCATGTACTCCAGATGGGAACAATGGTGCGGTGGCTTTACACGAAGACGAGTTGGTATTTGTTCAAGGAGTGGCAAATATAAAATTGGTACCAATTTTGAAAATTTATTTGCTAAAATTTTGAAAATTTTCAAAATTCAATATTTTCAAATTTTTATGAGTTAAAAAGAAGCTGAGAAGTTGAAATTAATTTGAGGCTAATCAAGTATCCTCAAACTCCAATATTTCAAAAATAGCAGCAATTAACAAAACC